AAGAAGGTATAGCTATCCTAATATCTAACAAATTAGACTTCAAACTAAAATTAATCAAAAGAGATGAAGAAAGACATTTCATATTCATCACAGAAAAAATCCATCAGGATGAAGTCTCAATTCTGGACATCTATGCCCCAAATACAAAGGCACCCACATTTATAAAGGAAGCATTACTAAAATTCAAATCACACATTAAACCCCACACACTTATAGTGGGAGACTCCAACACCCCACTTTCACCACTGGACAGGTCCTCCAGACAGAAACTTAACCAAGAAACAAAGGAACTAACAGAAGTTATGACCCAATTGGGTTTGTAGGAGGAAGTCTGATGCCGCCATTAAACATGTGACTTACTAAGTCTATGCTGCCATTAAACATGTGACTTACTAGAGGCGCATACAGATGAGGTAATAAAAGGGCGGTTTACCACACCGCTAACCACACCCACTTTAGGCAGGACTAAAGACGTGTACGGCTGGACGTAAAGACGTATACATACATAGGCGGAACTACGTCACTAGCCAAGCCCACTTTTGGGCATGGCTAGGGGCGTTACGGGGGAAGGCATAAAAGACAGCGCACAGGAAGTCTCGCTCTCTTTTCCTGGAGTTCGGCTTCCGGTCCAGTCACTAGCTGAGATCTGCTGGGCTTCTCGGGGTTTGGTATCTTGTGAGTAATTTTCTACATTAAATACTTAGCTTCACTTTCCGTAATTGTGTGTCGCGTATCGTTACAGCGTCCGTAAAGCCAACAGGAGAGCACAAATGTGTTTGGAGTCACAAAGCACCAGGGTGAACAGATGTCCATCGTGCACGGCCAGCTGCGGGTTCTATATGAAGATGGTGTTTTCTTCCTAAATGCAGCTATGGTGTCACTGCCTTTAGGAAGAAAACACCATCTTCATATAGAACCCGCAGCTGGCCGTGCACGATGGACATCTGTTCACCCTGGGTTTAATGGCGGCATAGACTTAGTAAGTCACATGTTTAATGGCGGCATCAGACTTCCTCCTACAGGGTTTAATAGACATCTATAGAACATTCCATCCAAAGACAAAAGGATATACCTTCTTCTCAGCACCACATGGAACCTTCTATAAAATCACCCACATATGTGGCAATAAAGCAAACCTCAACAGATACAAAAAAATTTGAATAACCCTCTGTATCTTATCAGACCACCATGGCTTAAAATTAGATTTCAACAACAACACAAATTACAGAAACCCCACAAACTCATGGAAATTGAACAATGCTCAATTGCATCACTCCTGGGTAAAGGAAGAAATAAAGAAATTAAAGACTTCCCAGAATTCAATGAAAATGAAGGCACAACATACCCAAGCCTATGGGACACTTTGAAAGCAGTTCTAAGAAACTGGAGAGTAGCCAAAGTAGGAATTAACAGAACACCTGAAAGCTCTAGAACAAAAAGAAGCAAACTCACCCAGGAGGAGTAGACACCAGGAAATAATCAAATTGAGGGTTGAAATCAATAAAGTAGAAACAAGGAAAACAATACAAAGTATCAATGAAACAAATTTGTTTTTTGAGAAAATCAACAAGACAGACAGACTTTATCCAACCTAACAAAAAGGCAGAGAGAGAATATGCTAACTAACAAAATCAGGAATGAAAAGGGGGACATAACAACAGACATCGGAGAAATCCAGAGAATCATCAGGTCATCATTTGAAAACCTGTACTACACAAAATTGAAAAATTTAAAGGTGATGGACGATTGTCTGGATAGATATCACTTACCAAAATTAAATCAAGAACAGATAGACAATTTAAATAGGCATATAACTCCTAAAGAAATAGAAGCAGACATCAAAAGTCTTTCAACCAAAAAAAGTCCAGGGCCAGATGTTTTCAGTGCAGAATTCTACCAGAAATTCAAAGAAGAGCTAATACCAATACTCTTCAAATTGTTACACACAATAGAAGCAGAACTGCCAAACTCTTTTTACGAGGCTACAATTAATTACCTTACTACCCAAACCACACAAAGACACAACTAACTCAGGGAACTACAGACCAATCTCCCTCATGAACATTGATGCAAAATACTCAATAAAATACTGGCAAATCGAATCCAAGAACATGTCAGGAAAATCATACAATGTGATTAAGTATGCTTCATCCTAGGGATGCAAGGATGGTTCAACATACGAAAATCCGTCATTATAATCCACCATATAAACAATCTGAAAAAGAAAGACGACATAATCATCTCACTAGATGCTGTAAAAGTCTTTGACAAAATCCAACACCCCTTCATGATAAATGTCTTGGAGAGATCAGTGATAACAGAAACATTCCTAAACATAATAAAGGCAATATACACCAATGGACAGCCAGTATCAAATTAAATGGAAAGAAACTCAATGTGATTCCTCTAAAATCAGGAACCAGACAAGGTTGTTCACTCTCTCCATATCTGTTCAATATTGTACTTGAAGTTCTAGCTAGAGCAATAAGACAACAAAAGGAGATCAAGGGGATACAAATTGGAAAGGAAGAAGTCAAACTTTCACTATTTGCAGATGATATGATAGTCTACATAAATGACACAAAGAATTCCACCAGGAAACTCCTACAGCTGATAAATACCTTTAGCAAAGTGGCAGGATTAACTAAAAAAAGCATTGTCTCTACTATATATAGATAATAAAAGGGCTAAGAAATAATTCAGAGAAACATCACCCTTTACAATAGCCACAAACTATCAGTATTTAACTCTGGCATACAAATGGACTTTAGGAACCCATTCCACAGGGAGGGATGCTCTCTCAGCCTTGACACATAGGGGAGGGCCTAGGCCCTGCCAGGGATGATATGATAGACTTTGAAAATTCTCCCATGGAAGGCCTCACCCTCCCTAGGGAACAGGGGGGGATGGGGTTGGAGGGTTGTTGGGGTTGGGGTACAGGGGAGGGGGAGAGGGAGCTGGGATTGACATGTGAAGCAAGCTTGTTTCTAATTTAAATGACAAACTGACAAATATATAAAAAAAGAAATTTCCATAGAGAAAAACCATTCTGAGTGAGGTAACTCTGACACAGAATGATAAAAAGAGATGTAGTCACTCATAGGTGAACATTACACATAAAGGAAAGGATAGCCAGCCTACAGTCCACATCCCCAGAAAAGCCAGGAAACAAGGAGGACCCTAAGAGGGACATACAAGTATCCCCAGGGAAGGGGAAATAGACAAGATCACCTGAGTAAATTGGGAGCATAGGGGAGAGTAGGCAAGTTGAGATGGGAGAAGGAGATCAGAGAGGAGAACAGGAGCACACATGAGATGGTCAAGTTGAGGGACAGGGAGAGCAAAGAAAGAGATGCCTTGATGGAGGGATCCATTATATGGTTAGTGAGAAACCTGGCACTGAAAGAATTTCAAGGAATGCACAAGGGTTAGAATCTAAGCAATAGTGGAGAGGATACCTTAACTGCCCTTCCCCTGTAATCAGATTGATGACTTCCTTAATTGTCATCATAGAACCTTTATCCAGTAATTGATGTAAGCAGATGCAGAGATCCATAGCTAAGCCCTAGGCCAAACTCCTGGAGTCCAGTCATAGAGAGAGAGTATCCATAATATGAGCAAAGGGGTCAAGACTGTGATGGAGAAACCCACAGAAATAGCTGATGCAAGCAAGTGGGAGTTCACTGACTCCAGACTGACAGCTAGGGAATCTTCATAGGACCAAACTAGTTCCCTGAATGGTGGTGTGATATGGTCAGTGTGTGGCGCCATTAGCAGTGTAATCAGTATTCCTCTTGCATAATCTGACTTTTGAAGCCCATTCCCTATGGAGGGATCTCTTGCTCAACATAGATACAGGGGGAGGGCCTCAGTCCTGCCCCATATGATGTGACAGACTTTGTTGATTCCCCATGAGAGGCCTCACCCTCTCAGAGGAGTAGATGGGAGTAGCTTGGGAGAAGGTGGGGGGGATACAAGAGGGAGAGGGAACTAGGATTGGTATGTAAAACAAGATTGTTTTAAAAATAAAATATTTGTGTAAAATACCCTCGAAGATATTTATTGAACACAGAGCTTTCTTGTGACAGAGATTGTAGTTCTAACACAATCAAAATAGTTAGTATCATAAAAAATAAATGAAAGTATAGAAGTTAAGCTATGACGCAAGCCCTGATCAAATGTTTAAAGATGAAACTGACACTTCCACTGCAGAATTAGGGTTTCTGTTTCTTCAACATTGGAGCTTGAAAAAACAAAAGAATATGAGCCATGTTTGGGCAGAGGCCAAGGTTGTAACTGGACCCCCTTTTCTACATTTTCCTTCAAGTCATCTCTAATTGAAGAACTAGTTCTTGAGAAAAATGGTTGATGGATCCATGCCTCAGACCCCCTCCACATTTTCAGTAACTTTCATGCAACACATTAAGATGTTTCCTGGGGCAAAATCTGGAAATTGAATATGGTCTGATCCAGTTATGCCCTAGATCAAACATTTTCTCTGTTCATAAGTAATGCTTCTTTTGGTGTAGTATTTAAGTATATGTATCTCTCAACTTTTCAGTCTGATCTGTTCAGTTATCTTTCCTAGATAAGAACATAGGGCTTCTGTCATGCTGGATCTCACTCAGGATATGTGGACACTTGGCTAGCAAGGGAAGTGTGGCTCCAGCTGACTGCTTCTTCCCCCCTAGAATAGAAAGGTGCCAGGAAGTGAAGGCAGAGATTGGACCCTCTCTCTTAATAAGCAGGCTCCAGCCTGGGCTCACTGGGACAGAGGAGTTTTTCAATAAAAGTCCCCTGAAATTTTTGTGATATCAGAGGTCTGATTTCTCTTTTTTCTGGTGCATTTGGCCTTCATTTGCTCTCGCTATTCCCTAAGCAAACTACATGTGGAGGAAAGTTTTGCATACAGTTAACCCACAGTGACAGTGACGTAGGCATCAGCCATAGTCACCCCTCCTGGCAGGGTAGAAATCCAGAAGGGAGTAGAGGAGATGCAAAGGTAGAGTTTGGGATCCTCTGGTTGGCTCCAGGGGTGGGGCAAATAAGGGGTCAGTCAAGAGTATTGGTCCAAGACCCACAAATACATCAGGATTTTTCCCTCCTGTCAGCCTCCTAAACCCCAATGAGGTCATAGCAATGAGAGAGAATCAGATCAAGAGAGAGGGGGAGGACGACAATGGAGAACAATTAACCAGATGGAAAGAGGCCATCAGACAAGGTCGCGTTTCTGGCGGCACAGTAAGTGCGAGGAATGTGGTGCTGAATACCATCCACCTGCTCTGCCTGGAGACCTAGGGATTCACAGAAGCGCTTTGCGCTGCCAGGGAAACAAAGGAGGGGAAGACAAAAGGACTGGCGGAGAGGGGTTGTGAGTGGTCCCCCTTTATCTCTAGGAAGCCAAGCTCCATTCACCCACTGGGAAAGAGGAGGGAGCCTGAAAGGTGCAGAAGGCTCCAGGGAGCGCGGAACCCAGACGCGGCAGAACTCTGGACAGCTCCTTGCAAGCTGCCTGGGCTCACATCCAGAGTCTGCTCTCCAGTGCCCCGCTCCCCAGTGCTGGCTTCTAGACTCCCACCCACCGCCGGCGATTCCTGTGTGAACGTGCCAGGGGCTGGACCAGCTCTTTCTCCTCTGGCCTGGCCACGGAAATGGTTCTCTGGTTCTCGAAATCCAGATCTTGTGGATACTGTTTTGCCGGTGAAAAGAGAAAAGTTTGAGGATATTGACTGTGGTAGGGGGTGGAAAGGGCTAAGGAGGACTGGAAGAAAAAGGTGGATGATTGGCTTCCTTCTCTGAGCTGAAAGGAATGATGACTCAAGGAGGATGTGCACCAGCAGCCAGATCATTGGGAGCCTCTTGGTGCTCTCTGTGCTGGAGATAGGGCTGGGGGTGTCCAGCGTGGCCGTGGGGGCAGTCAGCTTCAGCCTCGCCCTCCGAGAGCACACACCGCAGCTCGGAGACTCGTCCCCGGTATGGAGCGGGGTGTGTGTACGTTGAGCCATTTCACTCTCTCTTTACCTCTTTTCGGGATGGTCAGTGTGTGTGCCTTAGTCACTGTCTCCTGGGGAAAGAAAATTATAATTCTCCTCTGCCTGTAGATTCGCATTGACAAGCTTGGCTGATTTATATTGTCTTTTTATGTACTGGGGAAGCTTTTTTTACTCTTACCTGGGCTTAAGACCCAATTGAAGGGCTGGCTTTAAACTTGAGGAGAGGGTCATTCTCCACTGGCTGATTCTGTAAAAGGCTGACCAGTGTTAATCATTACAGGGTCACACCTGCCAAGGGCAAACTCATTTATCATTTATTTCTTTTACTGAAAATGTTACATCATTTTATTGTACCAAGAGCAAGCAGGGATTATTATCCGTTTAACTGTGGTCAGTATGATTAAAGTGCTCCCATGCAACAGTGATATAAATAAAAGGGAAAGTGAGCTGAGACTTTGAAATGTCTGAGAAGGGGTTGAGCACCACTCCAGGAAGCGCTACTTTGAATTTGCCTTGCTACCTTTCTGATACTGAGCTCTGAATATTCTGTTGTTCTAGGCCATCAGTTAAACAAAGGTAAGTAATGCAATGCCGTTCTAATTGTAGAGTAATTCACTTTAAAGAGTGCCTACCTGTTCAGAAAATAATGTCGTTTTTTTCAGGTCAGGGGCAGAGCTAAAAGCCTCTTGTTTAGTTTAGTTATATAGGATGAATTGCAAGGAAGCAGATCCTTTGCTGCCACCAAGAATCAATAAAATAACTACTTGATCATGAAAAAGCACCCTTTTCTCTTTGCTGTCTGTACTAGCCCCCTCTCTGTATGTGCGTGCCTGTGTGTGTGTGTGTGTGTGTGTGTGTGTGTGTTGTCTGTCTGTCTGTCTGTCCCACCACCTTTCTTTTCTTCCTTCTCTCTCCTACCTCTTCAGAGCTGCCATTCCAATATAGGTCTCTAGCACGACTAATTTTTTTGCATAATTCATTAGAAAGCTATTCTGTTGTTAACAATCCATACTGCATTTACCAATCATAATTTCATCTCTAAATTACTAAGCAAAAGACCATTTAGAAACTTAAGAAAATCCATTCCAAAGCTATTCATAAAAGGTATTCTGGCCCTCTCAATGCTGTGAAATTGTACATTGGATAATTATCTTTTATACTCTTCTACCCCACATCAGGTGAGATACATGTTTATAAATTGCAGAACTTAAAAAATTAAAAATGCAAATCTAGAATTGAATTCTCCCAAGAATCTTTTTTCTTGATTCCATACATTTGTAGTTAACACCCATTAACTACCTTATTATTTATTATGGGAGTCTTGCTGATGTAGGTAATAAGTTTGAGTTTGAAAGAATAAGAGGCACATCTTAAATTTTACATCTAATGTATCACTATAAATATTTGAGAGTTGTGTTTGTTGTAATTATCAAAATTTCTAGTGGGCAACTGTCAAAATAAAGTGCAATGCCAACATGTAAAGAAAGAGGGAGAAATGTGATCTCCTGATGGTTCAAGAAAGAAAAGCCTCATATAGGCAAATGTCTCCCATTTCTTAAACACAAGAAATTGAGTGAATTAAAGTAAACTGTCTCTAAATGATATCTTAAAATCATTTTATCTTTAATATCTTTTAAGTAACTGTTAGCTTGTTATTTTTAAAAATAATTAACCTTTTCTCCCTTCCAAACAGGATATTATATAAATGAGTTAATATATTCACATATGCAAAAACTTTTTATTCAGTTCAAAGAAAACAAGTCATTTACATTGATATAGTTATTACTATAAACAATAATTTATACTTTAATTATTTTTTCCAGTAAGCACAACTCACCACATTTCCTGGAAGAATAGTTTTGAATACTGTAATATGGGTAAAAATCAAAGGATTCAGTCAACTGAATAAGTTATTTGGAAACTGAAATGTTTGAATTACTCAGTTTTTTAAGTCAAAAACACACAAAAATTTAAATTTGTAAAGAAAAAATTCCAAATTGGAATAATAATGGTTTTCAAGTCAGAGATTTGCTAAGCATATTGCTCAAATGATTTCAAATTATTTTGTGATATATTTTGGACTATCTGTTCATTCCTTCTCTGCTAAATCCATATAACCAATATTTGTAGAGAGTTCAATATGTGAATGGCATTTTATTACTCTCTACAGAAGCTATAAAAGATAAGTCAGAATACAATCTTCAAATGGGTATCACTTGGCAAAGGAAACAAAATGGGTATATCGTTAGCACTGGTAGAGCTAAGAAGTTAAAGTATGACCTCAGAAAGATAGTAAGTAAAAGAGGAAAAGAAAAGTTGGCAAGGACAGTGAGATACCAATAGAAGTACTAAGAGCCTTTAAAGTTTTCTGGAGTTGAAATAAGTATGTCAAAGTGTTAATATTTCATGAGGTAAGGTCATAAGGCAAACCAACTGGATATGAATCTCAGAATTACCATTATGTAGTTGGGAGACTAACAAGTTTTCTCACACCAAAAAAGAGGGTTGGCATATGTACCAATTAATGAATATTTTACAATCTTTTATAAAAGTGTGTGATGTATCATAAGAAGTAAATGTGAGCTGCTTGTCCTGGATACCTAAGATTGCAGAGGTGGGTGTAAGAAATGAGAACCTCTGGGGCTGCATAGATGGAAACAATGATATAGGATGGAATGGGATGTAAAAACTCCTTTGTTTTTATGAGGTTTAGGTGTAAAGAAGATAAAGACAGAAAGACAGCATAATATGCTTTGTGCCAGGATGAAGCAATAGATTTTCTCATTTTCTAATAATCATCATCATAATAGTAATTCTTACTTCCTAAAGAGACTCCAGGAAGACAAAGAGGGAAGCTCAATATAAAAATCAATAATTTCTCTGGGAATTTATGAATTAAAATCTGTGTTTTTATGAATATGAATGAGACACACAATAATTAACCTGTCAGAATATAGTCGAAATAAGACTGTGTTTTGATTAGTGCATGAAGTTTTACTTCAAAACATTAATATCATTATTACAGATTTCTGAATTAAATTTACAGTCAGTGGAAATAAAGGTTGCAGTGCAGAGGATTATTTTTATAGAGAGAGACTGAAATTATAGGTAGGACTAGTAGCTGGAAGTTTTAGGAAGCTACATGATTATTTGTCCTCAAATATGCTAATTTTAATGACTTACATTGAAGTAATGCAAATGTAAAGGGCTTAAGGATGTAATACACATGCTTACAGGGATGATTTTCAGGCACTATTTCACAACTAGAAAAATAATATTCTATAATCAATCCTAAAAATGAGTGCAATTAGAAGGAAAAGGATCATTTTATTTCATTTCATAAGGATATAGATTTTCATAGCATATTTGTTCTTCCTTGACATTTCACTACAACTAAAAAATTAATAATTGAACCAAAAAAAACAAGAATTCATAATTGTGAGGTGACAGTGAAAGAACCATTGAATAAGCTGCTTTGGAAAGGTCAGATATGTGAGGCAGAATCAATTTGGAAGATTTATTGAATGGAATTCAAGTACCCATGTTTCTCTGTGTGTCACTAATCTTAACCCACAGAGCATCCTTGACAATAGGGATGGATTTAGCAGCATGCAGGTGCTGAACCACTTACTCTCCTGTTGGTCTAACTTGGTGTTTAGAAGTCCAGAGATTCAAATGATAGCATTCAGAATTGTCTAAGTCTGAATTGTATTATCAATACAATTGATTATTATTAATAATAAATTATTATTGTTGATCTCATACTGTAATTCTAGCCATCTTTATGTGATACTCATTTTGTGAGGTCTAATTCCTTAAAGTTTCTAATCATGGTTCTTCCAAATGTAAATTATAAGGCAATTTCTTTTGAAATTTTTAGTACTTCCATTTTGTAAATCATTTAGTTTGAGGAAGTTTTTCTCTTACTTTTTTTGAAGAATATTTGGCATTATATTTTAACTTACCTAATTAATAACTCTGATATTTTGTCTGGATAACATGTGTAGCATAATCAAAACAGTTATCAATTCTACATATTCTTAGGTCGTCATGTCAACAACTCAGCCAACTATAAGTCTTTTATCATTTTATTTCAGCCAAACGCAAGACTTTTTATACTTTATTTCAAAGATGATGTGCAGTATGTATCAAAATATAAATTTTAATATTTAAATATATCAGTATTGTTTAATTAAAATAACACAGTGTAAACTCCTTAGTGACCTTAAATTTACACAACTTTGAAGCTAAGTCTGTCTTTGTCCAGGTGATTTATTTTTCCACAGTGACAAAATTCCTTATAATACAATGTAAAATCCCTTCCATATACTCGGATAAAATAAATAAATAAATAAATGTATATTTATGCTTTGCTTTTAAATTAATTTTAATTGCATAAGTTATCATGAATGATTTATTTAAGATGTTGATTTAAAGAATACCAAAGTTCTTTTTTCTTATTTATCATCAATATTAGTAACAATTATTTTATTAAAACCTCAGGGACTTTAGTCCTTAAATAGTCATGTTTTGGTAATAGAACCCAGCTATGATAGAGTTTGTAGGTATAAGGAAAATTATTCATGAATTCTGTTAAAGCCCAGGCAGAGACTCTTATGTGACTCAAATTCTCATTTTCAAATGTGACTTAGTATTTAATGGTATTAGAAAAACTGAAAAGGCAAATGTGTTAAACTTCTACAGAATGTGATATTGTCCAAGGACCATGTCATGTATCAAAAGAAACATAAGTATATTCCCTTCTAATATTGAGTGATAATAGGATGATGGAATAAAATGGTGTTTTGACCATTGTCTTATGAGATATTATTACATCTAAACAGTGTTCATGGCTAGGTGGCATCTGTTAGAGTTTCCATCTAGTCTGTAATTGATTCAAAGGTGTAACTTGCCTGAAGTCTTTGTTTAGGAACAATAGGGAAGGGAAATATTTGCTAGTAATTCACTTTATATAAACATGATCTGAACAAAATCACA